ACGAAAACAGCTGTAAATGCTCAAAGTAGATTAATCTTTTTTTTGGGACTGGTTCCCATAATTATTTATATTCTTGTGAATTTGTGTTTTTTATTGTTTCACAGTACGCGTGAAAGACATTTAGTCCGTTTGGAGCTTTCATTTATCTTTTGATCTGCTGAATTAATTCAAAAAAGTATTCGCTGTAGATTTAATTATGCGAAAAAGTGTTCCTTTGATTAAAGTAAGAATCCGCATAACATTGACATCATATGAATCATAATCATGTGTTGGTGCGAACATTAGAATATCGAAAAAATACAGGCTGATTTCATTGATTTAAAGTCTCAATTTTCACATTGAAATCCTAATTTTTTGATTATATTCAAAGCTCGAAACGTACGATAAATTGTAAGTTCCTAATATTCTCAAACATAAAATTGCTGCATTAGAATTTTCATCACAAATTATCAACTCATCAGTATATGAGCTAATTGAAACTCGTTTTATGACAAGCAATACAACATTATTAATTATAAGCTACATAATCCAATTAGAAACTCTAGCCAAGTCAAAAGAGAGTAATATTTTCAGTTAATATATATTCGACAAATGTATGTGGCATAAACAGAACGGCTCTCATGTGCTTAGTAATTGATTGTTAGTCTTAATCAAATTGGAGAAATAGGAAAACAAAGGGAAGAAAAGAAAAATTTAAGTCAAGAAATAAAAGAAAAAATTCAGAGAAGAGGAAGGAAAAAAGAATAAAGTTAGAGAAGGACAAAAGAGAAAATAAATTCGTCCAGCACATCCATTCATTGATTCGATGAAGATTGCTCAATAAGTAAACATCAATTCTGCAAGCAATGTGAATGCACACAAAGATAAAATACATGAATGATATCTGAATTTAATCTAAAATACTATTCAGATTACGAAGAAATTCACATATTTACTGTATATACGAATTGTGAATAAGGATTCTCATTGACGGTTGGTCAAGCTTAGAAAACATGAGCAAAAAGATTCAGATAACTCTTATAGAAGAAGTCTTCAGAATTGAACGATGTAGAGGATTTAGTTTCACCTTACGCTCTGCGTTTATTTTTGCTTTTTCTTAGGATAGTATTTGTGGAAAACTTTATTGTACATTTCATCGAAATAGTTGACAAAATACGATATTCGTAGAAAGAATATATAATATAGAACTTATTTATCATTTGGTATTACCACATTCTATAATAAAATCATTAGTGAAACTAAGCTATTTAACATTTTTTAAACTGATTTATTAAGATCAATCAGTGTGACGTTTTGTTTTAACTAAGAACATTATCAAACACCAATAAATAGACAGAAGAAGAATATATATAAGAGTAAAATAATGTCATCGTTTTTATTCTATTGTTTTACGCATTTCAATGCACGGGGGAGTAAAATTGATCCGTCTGCATTAGAATGTTTAAAACAATAGAATAGAAAAACGAAGATATTATTTTACTCTTATATATATTCTTCTTCTGTCTATTTATTTGTGTTTGATAATGTTCTTCGTTAGAACGAAACGTCACACTGATTGATCTTAATAAATCAGTTGAAAAAAATGTTAAATAGCTTAGTTTCATTAATGATTTCATTTTAGAGCTTGTTATTTTACTGAGTTCGTCGTCGATTGAAACTCTTACGTGAAGAAACTTTAATTTTTTAACTCTTATACCATAAAAAGAATATAATGCTGAGTATATATTCCGTTTTCAGTATAAATCTTAAAAGAACAACTAGATGATAAATATGCGTAAGTCATAAAGATTACAGTAATCCAATAAAAAACTTAGCTGCTCTATTAACTTTTGTAGCAATAAATTATTTTTTATCTACGATAGACGACTGTTAAAGAATGAGAAAAAAAAAGTCTCAGCAATGAATAAATTTTAGAAGTACGTCAATAGTGTAGTTGTTTCATATTTGCTTTTGATAAAATAGACCAAAAAATTGACATCATTTTATCTATGGTATTTTTCCCCTAGAATTTTTCGCTTGTCGTATCAATTCATTGATTCTTCTTAAAAATCTAACTTTCATTATCATATACATATCTGATACTAATAAACTATTTTAGATTCTTCTTTCATTATTCATCGAGATTATCATAAATCACAACTTTGTAATTAACTAATTATATATTTCTCCATAGATATTAGAATAAACTAGACTTGAGAATTAGTAACGAAAACTTGAGAAGATTTCGATAGAATATTTATCAGATGTAAGACAAGCGCATCATCCTTGAGCGATCGACAAAATTTTAATTATCTACAGAGAGTATAGAAAAAAAAAATTTTAAAAACGATTGCTGTGTCAGAAGAAAGAGTGCTGTCAGGTTTTTGTAATATCTCAACATATTCTAATGAAAAGATCTCATTTTATTCTCAAGAAAACAGAAAAGTTAAATTTCTAACAAGTCAAAATATTTATTTAAAGAAGTGAAAGTTCATGCATCTTTAAAACATAAGGCATGAGTAGAAGTCTTTTGAACAAATATCAAAACAAAAAGAAAAGTTTGTAGAAAAGACTTCTACTCATGTCTTATGTTATATAGATGCCGAACCTTCATTTCTTTAAATAAATATTTTAACTTGTTAAAGATTTAACTTATGCTTTTTCGAAAACAAATTGAGGCCTACTCATTGGAATGTATTGAGATATTGAGAAAAAAGATTGAACGTGTATTGTCCATCATCAAATTAATAAAATTAGATGAATGGTCAAGTTACAAGTAAGACGAAGATGATTCTTGAATATTAAACCTTTTTCTCAAGTAAAGAATCGTTTACGACAGATGAAATAATAAAAAATTATGGTTCTAACGTCAACGAATCACTATTTATGACATTTACAATCCGACGTTTAAACGACAAGAACATAATATTACTTTATGATGTAGAAAATCGTTTTTTGTGATAAACGCGGAATTTGATCAATATATCATCGTTTAAACGATATGACATTAAACATCGTTTTAACGGTAGAGCAGCGTTTCCTTAACTAACTGGGGGATCCGACATCGGACCAGAAAAAAATTCTGGTTTGGTGTAGGTCCTGAACTAGAAAAGATCAGAACGTTTTTCAGACAATAACATGCCCTAGTGATGAATGCGGCAGCTTTTTTTAGGGACATTGAAAATATCTCTGATGATACTGATGATGATCTTGAACAAGAATGAATATTGTTTTCTGTATATGATTACTCCGATAATGAACAGCGATACAGATTAAGCTCAATGAGAGACAGTTTTGCTCTTTTTTTCTATTTCTTTTTGCTTCTAAATATCGAGCTCACTATTTTAATAAAATGACTGAGAACTGCATATGATGTCTTTTATGAACTTCGTGGAAATTCATTCAAGTTCTTGTATACTTGACCAATGCTCAGATGCAGGAGGTACAGGAGGTAGAGGAGATATAGGAGGTACAGGAGTTTTAGTAAGTATTGGAGCTAAAGGATGAGGGCGGAAACACACAGAGCAGCTCTCTCGCTGAGGGTGAGGGTGTAAACACACACAGGGCATCTCTCTCACTGAGGGTGAGTGGGAAACACACACAGGGCATCTCTCTTGCTGAGGGTGAGGGCGCAACACACACGAGCCTTTCTTGCGCTGAGGGGGAGGGCGAAAACACACAAAAGGGGCATCTCTCTCAATGAATCTCTTATACTTACTGTATTTCCTATACCTTCTATACTTCCTGTACTTCCTATACTTCCTGTACTTCCTATACCTCCTGTACCTCCTATGCATCCTCCACCTGCGATGTCTACTCTACCTCCTGTACCTATTCTACCTCCTATATCTGAACATTGATCAGGTATACTAAGACTTTAACGAATTTCCAGGAAACCCATAAAAAGCATCTAATCGAGAACTGAGAAGATTTCGAAAAACTCGCGAGTGAGAGCAGAGACTTCTCTTTCGTGCACCAAAACTTACTTTAGACTGGAACCCGATAGAACTCTTTTGCTTGGACCCGGACCCGATGGGCTCTAGTTGCAGGTCTGGAGTCAGGAATTTTTTAGGGGAAGAAGCCATCGTAGAATAGAAGGAACTTTTTTCTGAACTAGGGGATGGCGGAATAAGTCACGCCTTGGAGGGACGGAGTAATGGTGGGACTCGCACAGAGAAAAGAGATTCTCTCAGTGCTTTAAAAGTTGAGGTAGCTCAAGCCCTCCTAGCTTCTTCTATTCCGCCGCCTGTGCTCTGAACTCCTCCAGACTTTTTTGGAACCGAACGAAGATCTGATCTATTAGTGTCCATTAGGATCTACCAGGTTATTTGATGCTCTTTATGACTTTCTTGAGGGTGAGGACGGAAATACACACGGGCACATCATCTGAGTGATGGTGAGGGCGAAAAAACGCACACAGGACGCACCACCTCAGTCAAAGTGAGGGCGGAAACAAGGACACACATAGAAGGTGCATCACCTACCTGAGGATGAGGGTGGAAACACATACACACAGAAATATAAAATGAGATCTTGGGGAACCTTAGTAGAGAATAGTAGACCAAGTAATAAGAATTCTAATAGAAATTAAAATACAAATATTTATTGAAATATTATGAAATTATATTAGAAAGTCTAACAGAAATTCTGTTGAAGATTTCTTGTAGATTTTATATGAATTTCGAATTATTTTGTGCGTAGGGCGTTCAAAAAGTATCCGGACTTGTTTTATTATAAAACAATAAAACACGTTACAATTATTAATGTATGTGCTCCTTTTCGAAGTATCGTCCCTCTGCCGAAATACACTTTTGCCAACGTTCTGGAAGTTTTTGTATAGCTGCTGTAAAGTCATCTTTAGACATACTGTTCAGACACTGGTATACTGATGACCCTAATGAACTTCGATCATTGTAGTGCCTTCCCTTGAGCTGATCTTTTAAAACAGGAAACAGAAAATAATCGCGGGGGGGGGCAGATCTGGAGAATACGGTGGATGACGAAGCAATTCATATTTTAAATTATGAATAGTAGAAAAAAACAAGATGTGATGTATGTGCTGGAGCATTATCATGATGAAGAATAACACGAACTGAAATTAAAGCTCGCCGTTGTTTTTTAATTTCTGGATGAAGTTCATTAACTAAAGTATTTGCATAATATGTCTTCGTTATTGTTGTACCCGGTGGTATAGGTTCCTTGAGAATTATTCCTTTGTGATCCCAGAAAAACGAACATAAAACTTTATTAGTTGACTTTTCTTGTTTGAATTTTGTTGTTGGTGGTGAATCAGCTCGTTTCCATTGTTTTGATGATTGTTTTGATTCAGGTTGATAATAATACATCCACGACTCATCACCAGTTATTATTCGAAAAAGAAAGTCGTTTCCTTCAATTGAATAACGAGCCAAAAGTTCTTGATATGCTCGAACACGTTCGTGTCTTTGATCCGGTGTTAGTAAATGTGGCACCCCTCTTGAACAAACTTAAGTCATATGTAAATGTTCATGTATACTATCATGTACCGTGCCGGTTGAAATGCCAAGGGCATCTGCTATTTGCTGAATTGTAATTCGACGATCTTCGATAATTAGACATTCAACAGCTTTAATAGTTTGATCGTCTGTTGTAGTAATTGGTCGACCACATTTAGGACTATCTTCAACATTTAATTGTCCGTCTTTAAAACGACGAATCCATTCAAAAACTGTTGTACGTGATGGAACATAGTCACCATAAACTACCACCATACGTTCATAAATATTGGATGGAGATTGTCCTTCCAAAATAAGAAACTTTATTACTGAGCGATGCTCAAACTTTTGATTTTCCATCAGTGTATAAAGGGTGATCTGACAAAAATCGTTATATTCGTGCATAGCTATTTCATTGCCTAATGATTATGATACCTATAGATGGAGCACTGTTCCACCTACACATAGACTAAAAGCTAAGAACAACAACGCTTCTTATTGTTTAATAATAAAACCAGTCCGGATACTTATTGAAAGACCCACGTAATTCATTTTCGGCATGGTCTCAAATTTTTCGATTTTTTGCAATTGCCACGCGAAAGATCCAGCAGATTCTGTATCATTGCGTAGTTACGGTGAAAAAACATTCCGTAACGATGTAGCAAAATTTTTCTCTCGTCGTTTTTTGCTCGAAACGTATATGTATTTGTTCGTCTTGAATGTAGCCGAGACCCGTATTCCGTCATTACTGATGAATCACCATCGACAATTCAAGCTCAATGTGCACAGTGCAAGGAAACAACGGAAGTACGTACATGTTTACATTGCGATAAAGTGCTGTGTGCTGATTGCCGTACAAAACATCACCTGTCTCAAAAGAAGGGAGTCGATGAATCGCTTCAGAAAGCTGCGATTACAGTCAATGACTTGATCAATTTAGGTCGTATGTATCTATTTTATATTATCTTCTAACTTTAAGAAATGATATTCTTTTCGAAATAGAGACATTGAATATCAGTCGAAATAATCGTATTGAAACGT